TTCGCACCGGCGACCGCGTGGGTGAGCAGTGTGGGGGCACCCACACTGCCCGCCGCTGCTTTGCCCGCTTGACCGACGCTTGGCGCCAGCAGTTTCCGGAGGCCTCTGAGATCCCCCGGTGGGGAGAGCTGTCTAGGGCTGGTGTAGCTATCTTTGATCTTGACTTTGATGCTATCCTTGCTGCCATGTATGCTGTGACTGTTAGTGATGAGGGTGACTGTTACCGGTGTTTCCCGCCCGACCCGGGCATTGGTACTGCTGCGTCAGGTACCAGTGAGGCTGCTGCTCTAGGTGCCAGTGCGTCTGTGCTCTCAGGTACTAGTGAGTCTGCACTCTCAGGTACTGTGTCGGCTTCGGCCTCTCACACCTTCACCCTTGACTCTGGGGCGTCTTGCTCCTTCTTTCGGGACCGCACCACTCTCACGCCGCTTAGTCAGCCGGTTGCGGTGTCCCTGGCTGACCCCTCTAGGGGTCCTATCCTGTCGCGTTTCTCCACAGTCCTCCCGTGTCCGGCGGCTCCCTCTGGCGCCCTGACTGGTCTCTACCTCCCCTCGTTCTCTACGAACCAGGTGAGTGGTGCTGACCTACAGGATGTGGGTGTCCACCAGTTCACTCCTGCTCGTCAGCGGGTGACACACTGCACAGAGGCTAGCACAGGTCGCCACCTGGCTACGTTTACACGTCAGCCAGGGTCGAGCCTGTACACACTGACCACTGCTTCTCCTCCCGGTGCTGAGTCTGGTAGAGTCCCTTCGTCTGGTCAGGTGTTTGCTGCAGCGTCCAGGTCTGGTCCTGAGTCTGCCCCCTGTTCGTGTCGCCGTCTGTCTCACGAGACTCTCCTCTGGCACCACCGCCTTGGCCACCCCTCTCTGCTTCGACTCAGAGGCATGGCCTCCCGTCTTCTTGTGTCTGGTCTCCCCCGGTCCCTCCCTCCCCTTCCTCAGGGCCCTGGCCCTGCCTGTGTCCCCTGTGTCGAGGGGCGCCAGCGCGCTGCCCCTCACTCCTCCCAGTTTCCTCCGACAGAGGCTCCGTTGCAGACGCTTCACATGGACGTGTGGGGCCCTGCCTGCGTCCGTGGACTCGATCACGAGCGCTACTTCTTGTTGGTGGTTGACGACTACTCGCGTTACACCACATTCTTCCCCTTGCGCAGCAAGGGTGATGTCACTGAGGTGCTGATCGACTGGATCTGCGCAGCTCGTCTCCAGCTCAGGCAGAGCTTTGGCTCGGACTTTCCTGTGTTGCGTCTGCACTCGGACAGAGGCGGAGAGTTCTCCTCTGGCCTTCTCCGTGCCTTCTGTCGTGCGCGAGGCATCCGCCAGACCTTCACGCTTGCGGACTCGCCGCAGCAAAATGGGATTGCAGAGCGCCGCATTGGCATGGTCATGGACGTCGCTCGTACGTCTATGATGCATGCAGCTGCCCCCCATTTTCTGTGGCCGTTTGCCGTCAGGTACGCGGTGCATCAGATCAACCTCCACCCTAGGGTCTCCAGGCCGGAGACCTCCCCAGCCCTGCTGTGGACGGGGAAGGTTGGCTATGCGTCGGCGTTCCTAGTCTGGGGATCTCGGGCGTTTGTCCGCGACTTGTCTGCGGACAAGCTGTCCCCTCGCGCTGCTCCCTGCGTCTTCCTGGGGTTCCCCCCTGACGCCCCTGGGTGGCAGTTCTACCACCCCACCTCTCGACGTGTTTTGTCCTCCCAGGACGTCACGTTTGACGAGTCGGTACCCTACTACCGCCTCTTCCCCTACCGCACTGCGTCCCTCCCCCCGCCCCCGCTCTTCTTGGTACCAGGTCCCCCCCCGGTAGACCCCGTCCCCCCTCAGGGTCCTGCCCCTTCAGGTGTGTCCCAGGTAGACGCGGTTGAGCTTGTCGAGGTCACTGGTGACTCTGGTGCTGCTGCGGGAGCTGAGCCAGGGGGTGCTGGGACTAGAGGTGCTACGCCTGGGGGTGCTGAGCCTGGGGGTGCGGAGTCTAGAGGTGCTGAGCCTGGGGGTGCTGAGCCTGGGGGTGCTCCGCCTGGAGGTGCTTTGCCTGAGGATGCTGAGCCTGGAGGTTCTTCGCCTGGAGGTTCTCCGCCTGGAGGTGCTTCGTCTCGCCGAGAGCCACTCTCCCCACAGGAGCTGCGTGAGTGGTTTGCCCGGCGCTGGAGGAGTGCTGCTGGTGCTGGAGGTTCTTCGACTGCAGAGGGTGCTGCTGGCATGCGTCCCGGAGGTGCTCGTGCTGTGGGTGCTGGAGCTGCTGGGCCTGAGGGTTCTCTTAAACCTAGAGCTGCTGAGGGTGTTGGCGCTGAGACTACTGCTGGCGGTCCTACTGGCAGTGCTCCTGGTGCTCCTGGGGGTTCTGGAGCTACTAGAGGTGCTGCTGGAGGTGCTGCTGGAGGTGCTGCTGGAGCGGGTGCTCCTTCTGGGGGTACTTGTGCTGTCCATGCTGTTTCTGGCGTCGCCACGCGGCCCCGGCCGTACTTCGTTCCGCTCCTGCAGCAGGTTCTTGGTCTTACACCTTCTCCTGGTCCTCCTCCTCCTCCCTTAGAGGGTCCATAGCCTGTCCAGTCCCAGTCACAGCTACAGCCTGCCTCTCCTTTGCCTGCTCCTTCTCCCTACGCTGGTCCGACTGGAGGTCTTACTGAGCGTCGTGAGCCTGCGTCTCGTCCTGCGTCGCCTGTCCGTCCTGCACGCACTAGTGGTCGTGGTTCGCATCAGCGTCCTCCTCCTGTCCCTGGCACGCACCGGATGTCTCTGCGTCCGTCCACTGCTCCTCTGCGTGCCCTTTTGCCTTCTCCTCCTTCTTCCTCTCTTCCTGCTCTTGCCGACCCGGAGTCGGACTCTCTTCGTGCTACCAGTCCCACTGTCACGCGTCTCCTTGCTACTACTGTCACTGACCCTTCTTTCGAGTCGTCTGCTGCGTCTGCCCTTGTCACTGAGCTCGTCGACTTTGCTGCGCGCTGTCGTCTAGACTACGCTGCTAGTCTTGTCGCTGAGTCTGAGTCTGCCTGTCCTCCGTCCGTCGGGGGTGAGTGTGCCCTTGGCACGGATGTCCTTCACCGTGACTACGAGTTGCACTCCCTCGACTTCAGCACTGCTTTCTTGCAGGGCAGCCTGCACGAGGAGATCTGGCTGCGTCGCCCACCTGGCTTCACTGGGTCTTTCCCTCCTGGTACCTAGTGGAGTCTTCGGCGTCCAGTCTACGGTCTCCGCCAGGCGCCACGTGAGTGGCACGACACACTGAGGACTATGCTGGCGGCACTTGGGTTTGCTCCTTCTACTGCCGACCCGTCACTGTTTCTGCGCACCGACACCTCTCTGCCGCCGTTCTACATCCTCGTGTAAGTCGATGACTTGGTCTTTGCCACAGTTGACACTGCTGGACTCGCCTACGTGAAGTCCGAGCTGCAGAAGAGACACACGTGCACTGACCTGGGTGAAGTGCGCAGCTACCTTGGCTTGCAGATCACCCGGGACAGAGCACGCCGCACCATTACCCTGACTCAGTCACACATGGTGCAGCAGGTCCTTCAGCGCTTCGGCTCCACGTACTCCTCGCCTCAGGCCACTCCTTTGCCTACTCGCCACTCGCTCTCAGCTCTGCCTTCGGATGAGTCCGTAGTGTCTAGTGGTCCGTATGCAGAGCTTGTTGGCTGCCTCATGTACCTGATGACCTGCACACGACCTGACCTTGCATACCCTCTTAGCATTCTCGCACGCTATGTTGCTCCTGGGAGACACCGACCAGAGCACATGGCTGCAGCGAAGAGGGTGTTGCGCTACTTGTGCAGTACATTGGGCATGGGGCTAGTGCTTGGAGGGCGCAGTCCAGTGGTCCTCACTGGGCACGCGGACCCTTCTTGGGCTGACGACCAGGCTACGCAGCGGTCGTCACAGGGTTACACCTTCAGCCTTGGTTCCGGCTCTGTTTCGTGGCGAGCTACCCGCTCGTCTTCTGTTCTCGGCTCCAGTTGTGAGGCTGAGATCTACGCCGGGGCCATGGCTGCTCAGGAGCTTCGCTGGCTCACCTACCTGCTGACCGACCTTGGAGAGCCGCCTCGTTCTCCCCCAGTCCTGTTCGTAGACAACAAGGCCATGCTGGCCTTGTGTCGAGAGCAGCGACTGGAGCACAGGACAAAGCACATTGCTCTCCGCTACTTTGTTGCTCCTGAGCTACAGCAGCGTGGACAGTTGCGACTTGCTTACGTGGTCTCTGAGGCCAACAGTGCTGATGTCTTCACCAAGGCACTTGCGCCTTGTGATCATCAGCGTTGTTGCACGCAGCTGGGTCTTGTGCTTGTCTTGCCTCACTTGCTCACTTCTTGACCTTGCTTGTACCTTGACCTATATATACTCTTGTTCTTGCTTGCTTGACTCTTGTATATCTCTATATATGATCTTGCATGTGAACTGGCCTTGTGGCCTTTGAACTTGTGCTCGGAATGTGTGGTGACTTTGTGATCCACCCTGAGCTTTGCTTTGCTTTGCTTGACTGGTCTTGTGACCCCTTGTTCTCCCCCACTTTGCCTATGGGGGTGTGTCAGAATATTATAGCTTACTTATTTGTGTAGGCTATAGTGGGGTATCCCATAGGGGGTACAACCCAACTTGGGTTTTCTATCTGTACTCACTTCGTTCATAGTTCACCCATTCTCTCGTTCACTTTTTAACACTGCTATGTTTGTGTGTATCTCTGACTATAGTGGACCGTTTCCTGCACTCTTTGGTGCGCTGGAATCGTGCTTCTGAGCTCTATCAAGCTGCTATAGTAGTGGAATTCTACAATGGGCGAGTATTGTTACTACATTCTGCATCATGTTTAACACACACAGCTCATCCTTTATATCGAGTTTGTTACAAACACGAAAATATCATGACCACACACCACGCGAAACCAAACAGGCAGAAATTGACGACATCCCAAGCACACCAGCACAATCCCGAGGTAGCTGAAACAGATGCACAAGCATAATTGTCTCCAGAGCGCAAAAGAGTCACACACAGCATGCAGGCACATCACGCATCGCCGTCATCATCGCCAGGACCCTGAGCAGGGACGTTGGGTGGCATTGTTGGGGAAAGGTCCTCGAATCCGTCCTCGGAAATCAGAACATTACTGCCCCGGCGGAAGGCCCACGCACGATGTGCAGCGTCCCACCATGGGCCAATGACGGCGCCTTGGTTGCGAATCGCCTCGCGGGCCCAGGAGTTCACTCGATCCAGGTACCAGCGCACGTCTTCAGCGTTCTGGGGTGCAGAGCGCGGCATCTGGCTGCCGTTGATCAGGGGATACTCAACCTGCGGGCGCAAACACACCAAGGACGTTATGTCGCGCTTGAAAATACAATACGCTTTAGATCGTGTGAACACGCACCCCATAAAGCCAGAACACCACCGCATAAGTGCAGAGCACGAGCTGCGGTGGGAAAGGGCGTCGAAACGACGCGTAGATGCTGCGCTCGAAAATGGCGGTGGCGAAGGGGAGCCCGTTCTCCCGGTGCCACACGTGAAGCTGGTGCGACAAAGCATCTGTGCGAGGCAAAAATTCCACGTTAGTAAGCCTGGTAAGGTACACCGTGTCACGAGCACTAGTAACGTGGATATACCAGGTTCGTTGGTCGCCAGGAATTGCGCCGCAGTCTGGGAGGCAACACCGTGGCCCTGCGGCACCGTCACGCGTGAAAACGTGGGAGGGTCATACGGGAGGCCATTGAGGACGTACACGAATGCCCTGCCCTGCTCCCAGCGAGTGTTCCGGAAGAGTTGCATCTTCCGGACCGTCCATCCAGAGCGGGTGTTGTCGTTGGACCACACCAAATGCAGCATGTGCTTCTGCGCCCTTGTGGTGAAGCGGAGTGCGCGGCAAATAGCCGCCTCAGTCAGAGCGGGGGAGGGCCAGAATGTCATGAGGCGCAGACGTGTGTCGAACACCAGAATGACAATCGCGTCCTCAATGACATCCTGCGTGTATGGGGGCCGGTGTTTGTATGTCATCAAGTATCATCCGTCGAACCAACATATGCGATCACTGCGACATGGGCATACCTTCATCCCGTTGTCAAAGCCCGGGATAACGAGATTCGCCTTCTCAAGACGCTCAGCCCAGAGCAGGAGTGCGGGGGTAGGTGCCTTGTCCCGACAGTGCGAGGACGTCTCCCGGGCTAACACGCGAGCGACAAACGGAGTGCGAGGAACGGCAGGTCCGTCTTCAGCTGCCGGCTGCGCCACTGTTGGCGCTGCGTCACTGCGCTGGGCTGCCCTCCTGGTACTCGGTGCAGGGCCCGCCGAGGCATCAGCGACAGGCTGCGCGTGCGAGGGCGTGCGACGAGCTTCAGCGTTTCGAAGGCGGATATTAAGGTCGACAATCTCTTGCTCACGAGCGCGCAGACGGGCCGCTAGCGCCGCGTCAACCGGAGGCGCCGGAGCCTGCGGTGCACGCAGAGCATTACAAGTGACACTAGGGCCGCGGCCTCCAGGCGTGGTGATAGCAGGTGATGCCGGGGCCGCCTGACTGACATCATCGACGGGACGCTGGCGGGATCGTGCAGCTGCAATGGGCGGGGAAAGGAAGTTAGATGTTCAGCATGTACCTCAATTGCCTGTACAGCATGAGCCTTCATTCACGTACCTTCGTAGACCTCATCGACCGGCTCATGGTGCGTGTCATCGCCAGATGGCGCTTCCATATCACCGCCATCATCAACTACAACTCCGCCCGTGAAGGCGTTGGCATCATCCTGCGGGCCCTCATCCTCACCGTCATCAGCGCCCGCATCGGCACGGTTCCCTGGGGTGTCATAAAAGACCATGTCAGTGTTGCTGGCGCGGCGACCCGCGTTCGGCCTACGAGGGCGTGCGTAAGGGGAGCGAGCAGCTTCCATGGTTTGAACAATGCCGGACAATCTAGACGAGCCCCCATTTTATACGCATTCCCCAGTCTCTCAAGAGGCACACGGCGCTGCAGACGCAAGGGAGAGACTCCCGTGGGGGAGATGTAAACGAGACGCATGACGCACGAGCGTAGTGAGAATCGCTAGTGTCTACATGAGAAGATATTCTCATCTGCTGACACGGATACAGCTCTTAATAGCCCCCTATACACGTCGACTCTGGATATCGTGTCGCGCTGGCAAACACGTAGCGATATTTCAAGGGTGATCACATCGGCGAGCTCGTCATAGATGACGCGCAATGTCCTCCGTGTACATCGCAGACGAACTGTTGCGTCAAGCTTCTTGTTGGTGGTACGTGCGCGAATCCTACGACGACTCTAAGCATGCCGTTTCTCTGTTGATTGGCGGTCCACGTCATTAGTCCGTCATATATATCTTCTACGCAGGTATTTGATGTGAACGCATCAAGGTGGGGGAAACAACTACGTGTGAGGGAGCGTAAGGGTGAGAACACTTGGTTTCTCAAGGGGTCTTCAAATTCCCCGACATTGGTGACTCCGTTAGTGATGCGATCTGTCATTCCCCCTCTGTGTAGAACCAGATATTTCATGTATATTGTGTCGTTACAGTGCTGGCACTGGACCAGAAACCGACCGATTGTGGCGAGGGTAGCCGTGTGGGTGACAATATGGACCTGTACGGACACAAATATCAGTGTCGGTGGTCACATCCGAGATAGTTGCCTGTGATGTTCTCTGCTGCCTGTGATGTTCCTTGCTGCTTGTGATGCTCTCTATTGCCTGTGATGCTCTCTGCTGCCTGTGATGTTCTCTGCTGCCTGTGGTGTTCTCTGCTGCCTGTGATGTTCTCTGCTGCCTGTGATGTTCTATGCTGCCTGTGATGTTCTCTGATGCCTGTGATGTTCTCTGCTGCCTGTGATGCACGTCCCCCTTTTGTGTTGCATGCTGATCCTATTCGTGCTGTTATATGATGCTGCTGATGGGTTTGTTGTTCTCTTATGCTGTCGCATTGCATGCTGTACTATGCTGTTGAATCAGGCGATTGCATCTGGCCGACCTCAGCTCAACAGGAACAAGGCACGCATGCTGGGGAGGACCAACTCCCCGGCTGATCCGCAAGACCTGTACTCTGCGTACGATGCAGCCCTTGAAGAGGGCATTGGGCCATACGCCTACGTGATGCGCCAGCATGGCTTGGTGCCATTCCCGGCATGGGTATGTGCTTGTGGGTGCTTTACTTTTGTCATGGCTATTTGCAGCCAATCATTCCCAACACGTGTCATGAATTTGCCACCAGACCCAAAGCCCACACAGTCCGTATCTTTGTAGTGTATGCATGACCCAGTCACGGCCCGCATCTACCCTGATCCATCATGGGTGTAAGTCTATGCGTGTGGCATCCTTCCTTCCATACCAGGTTCACACGGCGCTGGCTCTCCCTCCCCGGGAACTCGACCACTCCATCGTCAAGCCGCACTATGTGCATGCAGTGCCGGTGCTGCATGGCAAGGCGGCGTTCTCCTTCGTCGAGTTCGTGGACGAGCAGGGGGAAACCCTGCATGGACGCGTCCACCTCCTTCTGTCCGTGGCGTCCGCTTGTGCCGCTGAGGACGAAGAGGACCGTGCGGTGGCGTTTGTCCGGCGCTGGATCCCACAGAATGTCGATGAGTGCACGGGGTGCATGATCATGCACCCTGCCGTCTTCGACATGGGTACCACGTGGTGCCCATTGATGCAATTTAGAAGACCGTGCACATGGTGCAGTCGTTTGAGCACCCCACCCGCTGGTTTTTGAACAAGTGGGCGCAGGGTTGCCACGAGGAGCCCCGTTGAGTCTTGTCCCGCCCACCGTTTGCAAGGATGGCATGAATGCAGGCACCTGTGCACTTTGATGTTGGTAGAAGTACGTGGAGCTTGGAATAGTGGTGCATGCATGAGATTTTGTGCTTGAACCCCGCTGTCATGGGAATTCGGGTTCAGATGTTTCTTTTAGACCTCGTGTTGTGGTTTCGTGTGCTTTTGTTTTGTCATTTGATCTTGTTGTTACAACTCTGGTGTGCTGGTTTATGAATTTTTTAAGCTTCCAAGTCTGTTTTGCATTGGTTCCCAAACACCTTAGGAGTAGACCAGAAACGAGTACGATTTATCGGATCCTTCACAGCCACGGTGACATACAATGGGCAAGGGGGTGAATACAACGGGGAGGGGGTAAGATACCTATGGATTGCCCGTGCAATGTGTGGGCATTCGACAGCCTTGCCTAGGATTGTCTATCGTGTCTCTGAACATTACTTAGGCAGTCCTCGGTGTGCATGGGCGGTGCAAAGTGGGTTTCGTGCATAGTTGTTGCGGCCCCAAATTTTGTAGAGAACTCGTAGCCATTGGTCGCAGGGGAGAAAACCCAAGTGGTCCACGGAAGGACCTTTCCCGCGGTAGCTTGTTATTTTCTTCAAATCTGCCGAATTTCATGGCAGCAAAGAAGACACTGAAGCCTTGCTTGGTAGTTCGAAGCCTCCTTGTGTCAGTGTTGGGTCGTCTGTCATTGCTGGCGGGCTGGCTGCCGTTCACCATGCAGACAGTTGCCATCGTAGTGCTTAAGACTTGAGAAGCAGTTGGAATTGCAGAGAAGGATGATGTTTTCAAGCAGTCTGGGAACAACGTCTTAGAGCAGGTTCAGGAACTTGTTGATAACAGTGTCGATCGAAAAAGCGATCAGGAGAGCCAACCAAATCACTTCAGAGCAAGAAGCTGGTGAAGAAAACGAAATGAGCTGCTAGACTATGTACCATCAAGCAGCGAGGAGAGGAGACCAGGGGAAAGGAGAGGCTTTCTGGAAAATCCGTAAGAGTCTTGGTGGGTGGAATTCCCTAGCGGATTTTTGGGAGAGACAGGCTCGGTGGGTGGAACCCCCTAACGCATTTTTGGGTGAGACAGGCTCGGTGGGTGAAACCCTCTAGCGGATTTTAGGTTGAGACAGGATCGGTGGGTGGAACCCCCTAGCGGTTTTCAGGTTGAGACATGCTCGGTGGGTGGAATCCCCACGCGAATTTCTGGTGGGGCATGCACTGGAAATCCGGAGAGTCTGGGCAGGAAACCCAGGGCAAGTCGGCTAGCGATGTCAGCATTTTCTATGCTGCCCATGGTTGCGTTTCGTACCTCCGCTGACAGCGAGTAGGGGTTTCAGTGGCGGTGTGCCTTGCTGGCCATTGTGCTACCACGACGCGTCAGGCGAACTCGGCGGGATGAATGCAGGAAAGAGTTACGTGTGGGACACTCGAGGTGGTTCTCGCTGAACTTTCAGTTTCGTGCAATTTCGCCGCGCCTCGCCCCATTCCCGCCTTCTGTCTCCGACTCTAACGGACAGGTTTGCAACCAGTTGTTACCACTTAAAACTACCGACATGCACTAACTAGACGTTTCGTCAATCTCGCTACACCTTTCGAATTACCACTAAGTTGTTTGTTTCGCGAACTAGGGTGTTGATCCATCGTTGTGACAGCTGGAACTAGCGGCTTGTTCATTGAGGCTGGATTTGGTTTAGGGGTTGACGAGAAGGGGGTGGTGGAGAACCTTGATCTGTACTCGCTTGTGCAAAAACAGTGTGCAAGCAGGATAATTACAAAAAGGAATTATGCGTATTCAATTAAAACTATTCACCGAACCCAACTTTCTTCCACTAGAACCACTAGAACTACTTTATACGGAAACAAATCATTTCTTTCTTGCCCATGAATTTCCAGCTTCTGCCATTTTGATAAATATTTTGCATGAGGAATAGGATTCATACGGTAGGAGATTGCCATTACAATCCAAGCTTCATAAAAATGTACCATAAATGCATTTTTTGTGGCTCATAAATTCACTCTGCGCCACAACCTTATGTCGTACTCTGCCATCTCCCATGCTCCATCTACATTGATGGACCTCTTCAGCTGGGGATCTTTCCTCCTTGCTGCTGCTGCTATATTTTCCCTCCTACAGGAAGTTGAGGAAACATAACATCAAGTTGAATGCAACATACAAAGGAGAGTACTGGACAGATTTCCAACAGAAGCGAGAATGGGTGGTGCAGGTAATACTGATCGAACGTCAGGGCAGAAAGTAAGCAAGAGGAGAGAAGAGGTTAGCTTCCAGCATTGAGCAAAGGGTTACAGGTTGTTTTGCCGTGGTCGTCGAAGTGCATTGCTGCTACTCTGCCCCTCACTCAACCCGCATTGTCTGCCTCCTTTGCTGCACTCACATCTGCCACCACGAAACAAGATGTTAGGAACAGTGTCTGGAATGAGTGACTGAAACAAGGCATTGGCATCCAGTGACTGGAGTTGCAAACACAAGCCGTGGAACAACTTGTTCCGAACAAGTGGAAGTGAGTGGAACGAAGTCACTGGAAGTGACTGGAAGTAAACACTTAACCAAGTCACCAAGATTCGTAGAAAGATCGAGTTACTGAAACAAGTAGCTGGTAGGAGTTGGCGTAAAAAATCAAATGAATCACAAAGCCACAGGAATTTGGTGACTGGAAGAACAAGTCCTGGGAATCAGTGACTGGTGACTTCAGCCTCAGTGAAACAAGCCACCGGACTCGATGATTTGGTGTATCACCTAAGCAAGACACTGGAATCAGTGATTGGAATGAGGAACTGAAAAGGGTGTATAGAATTAGCGAAAGAGTGGAATCATTAAGTGTAATAGGTCACTGGAATCAGTGACCAGAATGAGTCACTGAAATAGGACACTGGAATCAGTAACCCGAATGAGTCACTGAAAGAGGTAACTGGAATCAGTGACCCAAATAAGTCAATGAAACAGGTCACTGGAATCAGTGACCCGAATGAGTCACTGAAACAGGTCACTAGAATCAGTGACCCAAATGAGTAACTGAAACAGGTCATTCAA